TGCATACTTTTGTCTGCTGCGCCTTCCCAGTCACCTCCCTACCTGATTTTCCCTCTCCTTCTCTGAAGTCCTTCTGTCTTAGCTCAGCTATTTAAGATGGCACCTGCTCGCACCAGGGTAAGTTAGAGACAGGTTGGGTCTCCCCTCCGCATCCAGGAGGTATACATGCTCTCATTAAACTTCCTTTTGATTTTTTTCTCTTTTCTGTCCGATACGTGTTTGATTATTTGCCAGCCTGGGAGAACCCAGAAGTGTAAGGGATGATTTCCTTTGTGTCTCGAGAGGGCAAGTGGGAACATTACTTTCCAGGCCAGGCATGGTAGGGTTCAGGGGGACTGTGAACATCTTTTTCTAATCCTTATTTGCTCTTGGGGTGCCTAGAACCCTTCTTCCTTTTTCTTTTTCTTTTTTTTTTTTTAAGATTTCTTTGTCCATGCACACAAGAACTGAAGTACAGGCCAGAGATTCAGGGGGTGAGAGGATCCGTGAAAGACAGAGTGGGGAACAGAACAGGCAGACTGACTGAAACCCACTGCTGAGGGGAGCAGAGGGCGAGACAGGAGAGGTCTGCTTCACCATGTGGCTAGCTCCCTGCCCCCCTGGGGATCGAACTTGTGCTGCACAGGCCTCAGATTGTTTCACAGTGCGACACTTAACCCCTTGCGCCACCCTTCTGCCTTTTTCTACCTGCTCAAATTCCACATGGACAATGAAGTTCAATGTCTTATTATTTGTTTATTGTCAAAAAGTGCTATGTCTGGCAGGGATCCCCGGGCTATAAAATCATTCCAGAGGCTGGGCCTCCCCAAGGAAGGAGGGGCTAGGTTTATAAAACCAGGACTGGAAAGTTGACCATGAGGAGACTGAGATCAGAAGAACTTGTGCTGGGACTTCAACATTGGAAAGAGGCGAGGAGGCCCAACAACAGGTCCAAAATGCCAGCTTGGCTTCTTTGGAAACCTTGACCCCCTCCAAAAAGGACAACCAGGAACAACACCTCAGGAAATGCCACAGAGCACATAGTAGCCACTAAGCCTCCCATCTGGGCAGGGACTAACTCTTTCCTCTTGCTCATTCCCAAATCCCTTTCACGCCTGCCCAGCCCATGCAGGGTATGAGAGCATCTGGTCGCCCCAGTTCAAATCCTGACTACGCCCCACTTGGGAGCTGTGTGACCTTGGACAAGTCACTCAGCTTCTCTGAGTCCTCGTTTGGAATGTTCTAGCTCACAGGACTTGTTACACCATGAGGGTCAAAGGAGGTAGGACCTGGCAGGCACAAAATGAGCAATGAATAATGCAATAGCACTTAAAAATATGATGGCGATTAGTGTCCACTAGGGTTCTCTCTCTCTCTCTCATACACACACACACACACACACACACACACACACACACCCTCCCCCCACCACCCATAACCTGAGCCCTGGTCATAGCTGTCCCTGGTCCTGCCTATCTCCTGTTTCTAATCTTTTCCTCTTAAAATGCTTATTTTGCCCTTTTAGCCTTTTTTAGTGCATGCAATACATACAGAGCTCCAAGGAATGCATACAAAATGTGTGACAATGCCCATGAACTAGAACATTCTGAGCAATCTGCCCACTCTGGCCTCCTCCAACTGCTATCTCCAATGAAACCCTTCAATGACACTTGTTTTCTTGAGACAGTTTTCATGACAGGACTGCATTCCAGAAACAATACATGGTTTCAGTCTTGTTGGAGGGTTTTAAAAAGTCATGGGATCAGGCTGCACAGAGGGTCCTGGGAAATGCGTATCTTGCTCCATGGTAAGAAGAAGAGGTTGTGGGGCCCGCTGTGTGGGTCAGAAATGTGTGATCATGATTTCACTCACCTCCCACCCTGTGGGGATTTTCTGTTGTCCTTTGGCCCCTTCTGGTCTAGGCTGATGCTCATGGACTTCTGGTCACCACTGTCTTTTGCCCTATGGATTCTCCTAGGCGGCCTGCCCCCGTCCCCGTCTCTACTCTGACTCATACAGCAAGCTCCAGCCCAAAGCTTGCCTCATCTCACCTCCATTCATTCCTTCACATTATTCGCTGAGAACCCGAGGCCTCCAGGGAGGCAGGGACCACAAAAGTGGTCCCCACTCTGTCCCTTGCTGGGGATAGGTCAATATTTTAGTGCCAGGGATGGGTTTGATGGGAGCCTCCCTGTGGTGGTCCCAAAACTGGAAATTGTTTGGATGAGGAGTAGTTTGCAGGAAGAAGGAGGAAGGTCATATCAGGCCAAAGAATCTTCTAGTGCATACCCAAAGGACACAGAAACATTAATTCCAAAGAGCACCTGCACCCCTATGTTTATAGCAGCACTGTTTACAATAGCTAAGCTTCGGAAACAACCCAAATGCCCAAAAATAGATGACTGGATCAAGAAGATGTGGTCCATACACACCATGGAATATTACTCAGCATTCAAAAAAGATAAACACATGCAGTTTGTAGCAACATGGATGGCGCTAGAAGGGATCATGCTCAGCGAAATAAGCCAGAAAGAAAAAGAAAAATACCGGATGGTCTCACTCATAGCAGGAATCTAGAAAACCTAAGTAAGGACCAGGAAAAAGAATAACTATAAGAAAGAAAAAATCAAAATCAACAAACAACTATGAACCAGAGACACATATGGGGGGGGCAGGGAAAGGTGGGATTGGGGTCAAAATAAGGGGGTTGCATTTGTATGGGGAATATAAAAATAAAGTTTAAAAAAATCATTTCAGGGAAACAAATAAAGAATCTTTGAGTGCAAAGGTCCAGGCTGGAGGGGGCAGCGAGGAAGGGCTTTGGGAGCAGCATTTCTCCCATAGAAGGAGCAGGATGGGCAAACAGCAAGACCTCAGAACCGCTCTCTCGTTTGAAACCAGAGCAGCTTTGTCTTGATTTCCGACTGTGGATTTACCGTGGGGGTAAGGTTTCTCTGGGACAAAGCAATCTGCTTCTTAAGAAGATTTTGGAACCATCACAGTAGATGCTGGAGAGTCACAGCAGGGACTTGAGCTGGGGATAGCCAGGGAGCGATTTGGAGATTAGAGAAGACTTCTCTGGGAATTCCTGCAGAGGGAGAACCAGATGTGCAAAGGCACTGGGCTACGTAGACAACAGGGAGGCATAGCCAGGGAATGTGAAGTAATGGGTCAGATGGAATGAAGACAAGGGTGAGGACTGATGTGGGAGGCCAGAGTGCCAGCACCTGGAGTCTTCTTAGAATGGGGACTTGGGGATGGACAGCTCTCAGGAGAACTCACACACGGACACTGGGGCAGGATGGCAGGGCCAAAGCGGTGAGGACAGAGGTGGAGCCATGGGACTGGACAGAGTTGGGGACTGGTGGGGGGTGGGGTGGGGAGTGACAACCTGTGGGATGGAGGGGAAGGAAAAAGCAAGGATAGCAGCTGAGGGTCCAACCTGGTGGCTAATGAACTGTTGCTGAGATGGGTCATCCAAGAGGAGGGGCAATTCTGGGGAGCTTCTTGGTTTAGTGGGGATGTTATGTGTCCGAGGGAGCACCAGAAGCGGTTAAGGGCCCTCATGAGAGGTATCCTTCTGGCTCCAGAGGGTTCCAGAAACTTATGGGAAAGAAAGTTTGGTCCAAGGGGACCACGCAGGAGGCCGCTGACCTTTAGGGCTATAGGTGTGTTACAAAAAGAGCTATTGCCCCCATTTTCTGAGTGAGGAAACTGAGCTGAGAGGGAGAAAATGCCTGGATGAAGGTCAAGCACTACACAAGAGTTGGGGTTTTATGGCCAACTGGTTGTGCAGGAGCCTAGAGGAGGGAGGCTTCAGGTGCCAGAGTGGGAGAAGAGTGAGAACTTCCTAGAAGCAGGAAGGGGAGCTGTTTACCTCTGAAGGGAGAGAGAGCAAAACCCAGAAGGTCAGGAAAAGAGAATGCTGGGATCTTCTCCCAACAGAGCTTGGACCAGCCAGAGACACCCAGAGAAACTGGGAGATTTATTTCAGTCACACAGCAGACAGAATTCTGGGCACCAAGGAAGCTTCTCTATGCCTGACTCCTGGATGAGGGAGGGCAAAGGAGGGCTCAGACAGCACATCCCAGGGGGGCTGGAGGGACCCAGAAGGCCAGGAGAGCCTCTCCTGCCAGAGTGCAAGCTCTTGGCAGGGAGAGGGGTGAGGTAACAGCATTTAAGCAGTTTGCTGTGTGATCCTGGAAAGGCTCTCTGCCCTCTCTGAGCTGCTTACTCATCTGAAAAATGGGGCCACAGGGGAGCAGTATCACCACCGAGTGGTTGAGGAGAGGAGAAACCACAGACTCAGGTCAGGCAGACCAGGTTCAGATTTGCTTCTGGCTGTGTAATCACACAGCACTTTCTCTCTTAGCCTCAGTTTCCCCATGTGGAAAACGGGTACTAGAGAAGTGTCTGACTCATCCCCCAGAAGAGAGGAGGCACGCTCACGAGGTCAGCCCTGCCCTGACCACTCCCAGAAAGACTGAGGAATCTGGGGCTCAACCTCCAGGACCCCAAGAATCCTAGGACACCTTCTCACTTTAGGCTAACTCAGTTGTATCCCAAGCCTTCTGCCCTATGATGGCTCCTCTTCTTCTAAACAGGGCAGGTAGCCCTTTCTGAGCACCCCCAGTGTCCAGGGAGAAAGGGGGGACAACAGACCTTTATGCTTCCTGAGCAACTACTGTGCCAAGTCCTTCCTCTCACCCAGTCCTGCATCAGGGAGACAAACAGCTTGTGGGCCCTTTTGTCAGACAGAGACACTGAGGCCCCAAGAGAGACAGGGACATCCAGACATCCCTGATGGTGAGCCAGCAAACCCTTCGTTCCCCACGCCCTTCCAGGAGTCACCTGCACTCCAGGGTGGGCAAGCCAGCTCAGCTCAGCCAGCCAGGCTGTGTCCAGGCCCACTCTGAGGCTGCAGCAGACCAGGCACCCCGTTTGCAGAGGCCCTTGAGGTTTTCTGCCTGGCCACATCCCCCAGGGGTTTCTTCTGGCTGGTGCCCAGGTCTGGGTCTCACCTTATTTCCTCGTCTTTCTCTTTGTCGTCCAACAGATTTTGGAGAAGCTTCTCCATGGCAGGCGGGCGAGGGTGGGGAGGGGAGGACGCGCAGGGAGCCAGATATGTGCCAGGTCTGAGCAGCAGCAGCGTCTGCCACCTGGGGAGCCCGCCAAGTGCCTACCTCTGCGCCCAAGGGGAGGGGCAGCACCCAGCCGGTTCTCCCAGCTGCTACCCACGCCTCCATGGGGGAGAGGCCGGGAGCCACCCTCCCCCTCCTGGGCAGGGAGAGAGGAGGCGTGGGGATCATGGCCTGGACATCTGTAAGGGCATTCAGTGTCCTGAACTCCAGATTTTATTGGCAACTCTCTGTGCAAGAGCCTAAAGTTGACCCCTGGAGGTCAGGCACACTGGAAGCTTCCTCCTGCAAGCCTCAGCTTGCTCCTCTGACAAAGGCGCTTAGTCCCTATCTGGAGTTCATTCATTCATTCCTTTATTCATTCAAAGAATATTTATTGAGCAGACTGAGACACAGAGAGAGCAGCCAGGGCCATGACAGCAGGGACGAAGGGTGATCCAGCGAGACAGAGACACCCAGACACAGCAAGAGACACCAGGACACTAATGGAGAGGCAGAGACGGAATAGTGAGAGATACAGAGATGAAGGGAGAGGCAGAGACTCAGAGGGAGAGACAGAGATAGTGAGAGATACAGAGACCAAAGGAGAGACAGAGACACAACGACAGAGATAGTGGGACACCGGCACCAAAAGAAAGGCAGAGATGCACAGAGAAGCAGAGACATGTGGAGACAGAAATACACCGGTCAGAGATAGAGAGACAGAGACACAGAATCAGAGAGAGTGAGACACAGCAGGTCACAGAGAGACTCAGGAAAAGACACAGAAACATCAAGGGTCAGAGACTGGCCGAGAGAGCTAGAGACCTGGGGATGCACAGGTCACATTGGACATGGGGGTTTGAAGGCCCCAAAGCCTGGTCAGAATCGCAGATCCAGCACTTCCCAGCAGTGGCAGGCTCTTGTGAGCTTGATCTCCCCAGCAGTAAATGGTACCTGTCTCATCAGGCTGCTGGAAGCAGGGGCTGAGGCACCTCTCAAGGATTAAGCAAAACTTCTGGCATATAGCAGGCCCAGTAAAGCTGGCATTCCCTTCTGGTGTCCCCCGGGTCCTGTGGCCTACTGGTCTCCTGGCCCTTCTGAGACCTGAAGTCTCATCAGAAAGGACTTACTGTTCTAGGACAAAAAAGGAATGTGTGGACCCTATTTTCAAAAGTAACGGTCTAAGTGGATAAGTCCAGAAAGAATATAAGGATCCCTGGGACCTTTCTCCTACCCATGGGAGTAAGTACCTTTACATTTCAGGGGAATATTTCTAGAATTTCCCCTAATTTTTCTAGAATGTGTCAGAGAAATGTTGGTTGAATGTCACCATTTCAAAATTTACTGACCCATCACTGGTAGCCTAGTGGGGGCAACAACAGGGGCTCTTAGACTTAAGTAACAGACTTAGAAGGAGGCCTAAGAGAGGTGGTATGACTTGCCCAACATCACACAGCATGGCCTACCCTCACATACATGTCTGGGGCATCGCACTCTCTCAGGTCACCTGCCCAAAGGTCCATCTCTAGGATGCTACCCCACCTACCCCAACATAACTGACTTGGAATCCTGCCACAGTTTCTTTCTTTTTTTTTTTTTTTTTTTAAGATTTATTTATTTATTTATACAAGCACTGGGTACAGTCAGAAGCACGGGAGGGTGAGAGAATTCACCAGAGCCAGAGCGGGGAGCAGAGCAGGCAGAAGGACCGAAGGACACTGCTGAGGGGAGCAGCAGGCGGCAGGAGAGGTCTGCGCGCCATGTGGGACCCTCCTCTGGTGGCCGGGGAGCAGCCGGGGATCGAACCAGCGCTGCAGAGGCTGCGGGCAGCTTCGCAACCCAGCGCTCAACCGCTGCGCCACCGGGGAGGCCCAGTTTCTTTCTTTTTTAAATAAAGATTTATTTCATTTATTTATGCACACAAGAATACAAGAGGTGGGGTGCAGGCCAGAGGTGCAGGAGGGAGAGCTGTGAGAGGATTCACCAGAGACAGAGTGGGGAGCAGAACAGGCATATCTACTGAAATACACTGCTGAGGGGAGCCTCAGGTAAGGCAGGAGAGATCTGCTGTGCCATGTGGTTCGGCTCCCTGCCCGGGGATCGAACTTGTGCTGCAGTAGCTGCAGATAGCTTCATAGTGCTAAGACTTAACCCCTTGCACCACCAGGGAGGTCCTGCCTTGGTTACTTTGGGTATTCTCCTCAACGTTGTCATCTGTGAAAAGGGTTCCTCCACAGGAAAGGGGAAAGCTGAGAGGGCCAGCTCTCCCAGTCTGGGGCCTAGTGGACCCCTCTGAAGTGAGGGGTGCATTGCTGAGTTAAGACACCCCACCCAGCCCTTAGGCTTGGGCCTCCTCACCTTTGTTCTGCTTTCAATCAACCTTTGTTCCTGGCTCTGAAGAGGTGACAACCCTGTCCTGTCCTGTCCCTCCCACAGAAAACTCCAGGCCCCACACAGGGCTTCCTGCAGTGGGAACAAGAGGGATAGGGCACCTGTGCCAAAGGATTCCTGTTCTGCTGGGGAGAGAGAGCGTGCCTGGGTCCTTGAGGGAGACCGGGGGAGAAACTGAGTGGGAGCAGCCCTAGGGAACTAGAAAGAAGCCATGGGAATGTGGGGGAGGATGTCAGAAGGTGGAGGGCCTGGAGACTGTGCCTCCCATCAAACAAGGAGAGCCAGGAAATGCTTCCACCTCAGGGCCCTTGCACATGCCATGCCTCCTGTCTGATGTGCTCTTCGTTCGATGAATAGATCTGTGTAGCTATCCATTCATCCATCACTCAGGTGTCCAACCCTCCATCTACCTGTCCATTCGTCCCTCTATCCACCCCATCTAGCCATTCGTCCTTCCTCTATTCAACCATCCATCTGCCCGTCCATCAACCACTCATCCATTTATCTATCCGTTCAACCATTCATCTCTCCCTCCTTCCCTTCATCCATCCAGCTTCCCACTGCGCTATCATTCATTTATCTACCCATCCATTCATCTACCCATCATTCCCCCAGCGATCCATGCATTCTTGCCTCCAAGTGATAGCCTCTGGGCCAGCTCTGGCCTTGCTGCCACAAACAAGACAGTTAAGTTAATTCATTGTAAAGCTGTGCTGTCCAACACATGTAGCTACCGCACACTGCCAGTGACCAAGGAAGTGAGCTTTCTCAGTTCTATTTAATGTAAATCAACTTAAATGGAATTTTAAATACAGAAATAGTGCGAAACATTTTCCTCTGAGATGTGAAATTAATGCTTTGGTAAGACTACGTTTAGTTTAACCCTGAAAAATTAAGCATTGGAATTGAGATAAAACATGTAAAATATCTCATAAGTGTTGAAATGATGATATTTGGGAAACACTGGATTAAAAAAAACACATTTGGTGCCTCCCTGGGCGGCGCAGCGGTTGAACACTGGGCTGTGAAGCTGCCGGCAGCCTCTGCAGCACCGGTTCGATCCCCGGCCTCCGGAGAGGGTTCCACATGGTGCAGCAGACCTCTCCTGCTGCACCCGCTGCTCCCCTCAGCAGTGTATTTCGTCAGTCTGCCTGTTCTGTTCCCTGCTCTGGCTCTGGTGAATTCTCTCACCCTCCTGCGCTTCTGACTCTTCCCAGTGCTTCTATAAATAAATAAATAAATCTTTCTTTAAAAAAAAAACAAAAAACAAAAAACACATTCCTGAAATTAACTATATCTGTTTCTCTTGACTTTTTTTTTTTAAATGTGGTTTTGGAGGTCAAAGGCAAGAGTGCCCAGTAGGGGCAATTTGCTGTGTAAATAAGCTGGGACCGAAGTGGAGAAAGATTCCAAGTGGACAGGCTTGGAAGAGGCTGAGCCCAGAGAGAGAGTGGGAGGTTTTTCCTACAGTACAAAGAGAAGGCATCTGGGAATAGGGGGACATCCCTGCACCCTGGGTGGGAGCTGACTGAGGGGACTTCCAGGGAAGCTCAAACAGGTCCTCAGAGATTAAAGGGTAGCAGGGAGTCCAGATAGGAAGCGGCTGGCCTGTCAAGACATGTCCTTTAAGCCAGTAATCCCCTGGGAAGACAAAACGTCACCAATCTGCACCACTGAACGTGAGGGGAGGGACCCCAAGGGACTGAAGGGGAGCAGGAAGTGGTTTCTGTAGGTTGGCTGAATGTGAGATGTTCTGAAGCGTGCCCATCCGTATCAATTCCCTCTCCCCAGACCCCCACCCAGGAGGCTGCAGGATGTGCCATTTTGTTCTTATAGCTCAGACATGGGCAAAGGGAGGTCACTGGGTCAAAAGGTCATGTTTCCTCAGAATTGGGGCAACGGTGACCTCCACAGCCCTACCTTTCCATTAAAAGCTGGTAATTGCCAGGAATTCTGGGATACCTGAAGCCTGGCCAGTTCTGGCTGCTTAGAGGTTGGATTCCCAGGAGGGCAGAGGCTGGGGGCAGAGCTCACAAATCCTGGAGTGGAAAGAGGAATCTAAATGGGTGGGGGGGTGAGGGGTTGGGGGGACAATACAGGGACTAGGGATCTGGAGTCCTCCGACTTGGGGTCTAGAATCCTGGGTCTGAAGGAAGAGGGATTGGGGCCTAGAGTCCTGGGTCTGAGGAAAGAAATGGGGGTCTGAACTCCTGGGTCTGAATGAGGAGGGGCTGGGGTCTGGATTCCTGTGTCTGAGGGAGGAGGGGTTGGGGGTCTGTGAACAAGACAGAGATGAAACTGGTACACGGAGACATTCGAAACTGGGGAAAGGGAGCACATGAGCTTGGGGGGTGGTGCTCAAGTCCCCAAACTTCCCTTGAGAAGCAAAGGAAGACCTCAAGCTGGGTAGGAGAAGGAAGGCAGCTGACACCTCAGAGCCACAGGGTTCCCATCCTCCAGCCTTTCCCTCTAATCAGTGGGTCCATCTCGGGATATACAGCGTTCCAGAAACCTTCTTCTCTGCTCCCCACCCGGATTACTCCATCCCCACAGATGGGCCTGCCCCAGGGCCGATACTGTGGCCCCAGCCCCACCCCACACACTCACACTGGCCGCCTTCCCCTCCTTGCTGCTGGAAGTGGTCCTGGTGGGACTGCAGGCCTGGAGGGATGGCCCCCACACAGT